GGATGTTTATGGAAATTCATATTTTTACAGATACGGAAAATAAAAATTGAGACTTAAATGGAGGTGTATCTTATTTTCTAAATATATTATTTTTGGTATTTTATACATTTTTGCATCAGTGCACATTCTTACAGATTTTCTAATATTTCCATTAGATATAAATGCATAAACATTGATCAGTCTAGTGATTACAGTGATAAATTGTGTCTTTCAAGACCGTCGGTGTTTTTCTAGTAGTACATAGTAAATAACTTGCTCTGATATCAGTGTGTTTACATACAAGGTGAACCGCGTAAAGTGTTACAAGCTATTTTCTCAGAAACTATTAGCAGAGGGACACAACAATTCGTATTTTTAAATGGAATGCCATATAAATTTGTGTTGTTTTGGATACCTCTTTTAATAACAAACAATGCTTATTTCAACAATTTTTTCATATTGCGCATGGAACAAATTATACACGAAAGTACCAATTACATTTACTGAGAAATTACATATGAAAAATAAAGTATAAAGTAAAAATTTCAACCTTTGGTTTCTCGAGCAATGAATAAAAGAAGTAAATAAAGTAAAAAAAAAATTAATTTTCAAGTTATAACTCTATAGATTACAAAGTTGTTAATTATTTTGTTAACTTTCTCGTGATTTCTTGGGTAGAAAAGATGATTTTTTTGTTAATAATATGTGTGCTAGTTGCTCTCTTTAATAATAACAAAATCTCTCCCTTTGTGTCAAAACAATTATGTCAAAATTAATTATGTCAAAACAAAAATTGGTCATTTTTAGAATAAATAATTAGATTCCGTTCTACTTTCATCTTTCTTCTTAAACGTTATGCACACGATACAATCTGACCTTCAATATTCGTGCCGATAGTTACCCTCCCCCGCAATCTGCTGCTCCGTTATCATTATCGTACGTTCATTACGTGTATTTAGAGTGAATGAGAATGGTTAGATTGCCGTTACCACCCGTGATATGAAATAATCACGGATGTCCTTTAAGATAGCCTGGTCCGTCAAAATCGCACACGGAAATTGCTCTAGATTCATTCTTAAAGGTGCACTTTAACTTGATGACTTGATGACTTGATTTCCCAAAAGGAAATCTGCTTCCAAATTATTTCTTAGAACACTTTCGAAAATTATGTAGATATAACAATTTTACAATCTCGGATAAGAACAGATTAGAAAAACACTCGGTCAAAGTTTATTTTAAAGTTAGGACGCTATCGAAGCCAATGTTCAAAGAACATACAGAGCCCTCGTGGAGCATCTAAAAGTGGATCATCGATCGTAGCAACATCTCCATCGAAAGTTCGATGCCGCGAGAATTTCAAATTAATCTAGCACTAGGTACCGCGGGGGTGGGAGGGGATGCAATATCGAGCAACAAGCGTGCCAAGGTTATTGGAATTCTAACTGCAATTTGACGTATGCTTCGGTGAGTGCTTCGCTTGCTTCGAACATCTCCCAATTCGCCAGCCATTATTTACAGTAAACAAAACCATACAACTGTAATAACAAGGACATTCCTACGTAGCGGTGATCTTACCAACAAACGTTATTCGTATCCGAGCAAACGCGAGAAATATCGAAAAAGAAATCGCTGAATACTTTGACATTTCGTTGAATCGATTTTATACAAAAATGGAATTTAATTGTGAGCTAGAACTGAAAGGTTACTTTCAGAGAGATTAAAATTATTAAAAATGTCAACGATAGCTGACATTTATATGTTCACACGAGCGTTTATATTTCACAATATCTAATCTAAAAAATAAATTCCAATAAAGTTAACGATAAAATTGACCGAACGAGATTAACGATCAGATTGTCGGTTCGTTAAGTCTCTATGTACCGTCGAATACAGTTGAGTGGGACGCTAACGATTGAACGATTTCACGCAAAACACGACAAGTACAGGAATACATTCCAGCAGGACATCACCGCAATGCAGATTTATCTATACCGCGGTGTTCCGCAACATACGGGCTACTGCTCAATTACGATTTCACAAAAAGTATTTATAGCCATTGGAACGTCTCGACTGCAACCGTTTTCAACCCTGATAACCCGCATACTTGGACGGTTTGAAATATTCATTCCAAACGCTTCATCAAGGATCAAATACGAATTTAGACGAAAGAAATTGAGAAACAAAATCGTAATGACAATATTTCACGTTTTAGATGATTGACGTACGATCGAAAAATAGAATAGGGTTTCGATACCTGTATAAGGCAAATTGAATTTGAATTAACGAGAATCCCGTGTCTGTAACATGTAAAAAAGAAAGAAAGGAATGTGTTTACCTTCTAAACTGAAGCTCGTTAGAGTTTCACCGTGTCGACTCTATTTTCACTAGTTTAATTAAATATTTGTTACGCGTTCTGATCATTGATAAGAAGACGATGTACCGTTCAGTGACGAAGCAAGCGATCCAGCCTGGACTTTAACGCGATCCTTGTCACGACCACTGTGGAACACGTGTCTTACTACGCGAATTGCTCTTCCAGCCGTAGCCGCTCGGGCTCAGTACCGTGTACGGCGAACGTAGCGCAGATGCTTCTACTGGTGTCTAGCCGACTAGCATTATCCTGCCAACATGTGATCCAATTATTACGTGCGCGTGCGCTTAACGCGATCAATACAGTTTTCCTAGGCTTCAAATGCTGGTCGGTATAACAGAAGCGATATTTCTTTTAGTAACGACCAGTAACCCATCAACTAACGGTAGCACGGTTATCAGTACACGCGATAACATGTGTTACGCCACAGTTTTACGTGAGTTTCTAGGAAAAGCGAGCTCTGTCGCTGATATTTTCAGTTTCTTTATTAAGGTGCGCCCGATAGCATCTGGACATTTGCACCGATCCGTATTCCTTTACAAATTTCTTTTTACATTTTCTTCCTTACTGTACTACTTATCTTCTATACTGTATCTTACTTTTATGAAAACACTACGCAAATACAACGAATTTATACTTTACATATCCCGCTGATATTTATAATACGGGGATATATTTTCATATATATTCACGAAAGGTCCTGAAAGAAAATACTCTTAGCTTTCCAAAACATTCATGAAAAATTGTCTACTATCATGCGTTCGCAAGTTGTAGACGTTCAAAGTAAAAAGTTCCTCTTTTGCTTGGATAGCGAATAACTCGGTCAATAAAAATCATACAACGAAACCAAACAAACGAAATTAAAGAGGAATGTTTGCTCTATAAGAGCCTTCCATTGGATTTATGTGAAAGAATTTTTTTTAGCCCATGCATACGGTCAAACTAGACAAAAATTTCTGAAACTTTGTTTCTTGCGCTTCATCTCGATAAAATAGTATTATAATCAACGATGAAAAAAAAAATGAGTCCTCGATTCAAAAACTAGAAACTTCGAGCTTTAAAATGCGTTTTTTAAATAGTTTTTGCGATCATTTTTCGCAGAGATACCGCCATTCGAAAGTGACAAAAATTTGAATATGCGCTTGGAATCGACATATGACATATAGCTATCATTCGTGACAATCGACCGACTCGCCATCTAGCGGCCAAACACCCGAAGCTCGAGTACGTGTGTAAGAAAGAGAAAGGAATATCTAAGAAAAGGATAGAGCGAGTGTGTGAAAGAGGAAGAAAGGAACATGAAAGACAAGGATAAAGCGAGGGTGATGGAAACAGAGAGAAAGGTACATGAAAGACAAGGATAGCGACACTCCACCGAATGCTAATGGACATTATTAATAATTTTTTGATTTTCTAAAGACAATTCATGCACTTTTGCAATTGTGTTGTCAAGTATAGACCACTAGCAACATTCAAGGACCATTTTCCGTACGATTTTCATTGTTATTAAGTAATAATAAATGATTTTTAGTTGACTGGTAACCAGTATGTGAGTGCGAGAGAGATCGAAATATGTGCGACAAGGATAGTGACTGTTTGATGGCGCCATCTACTAACGGAACGCTCAAACTTGTCGTGAAATAGTTC